TATTTCTTGGGTTATTTGGAGTTTTACTGAGTTAATTTTGTCGAGTTGTATGATGCATTCACATGCAGCGAAGTTCATGTTTTAAGATGATTGCACTCTCTCTTTGTTGCAGCTTTGCTAATTATGTTAACCAATGCTATTTTATGGTAATAGTGCTGTTAGTATCAACTAACCTACCCTTTTTTACCTTTTACGTTCCTTTTTGTTGGTTGAATCTCATAATAGATTATCAGCTTTACATCATACATCATCAACCTTTGCGAGAACATCTATAACCTGCTTGGCTTGTCATTCCTAGACATGCTAACAAGTGATAGGGAAATTTGCACTGATTCTTTAAATAGGAAAAAGCATTGAAAACTGTAGGATCTTTAAAATATTAAATATTTACTGTTTGAAGCTTTATTAAGAGCAAATTTTTATTTTTGACATTATCTTTTCTCCTTCTTACAAATTTAAAGTACAAGTTTTCTCTAAAAAGGATGTTTAAATTACAAATGTTTGAAGTCCTAAAGAAAGTAGATGCAAATTTAGAGATCAATGATCTGAGTGCCAAAGGCCAAAAGTTAAGATTGTTGCTGCAATTTACCGTAAGTAATAACTGACCAAGTTTATTGAATATGTTAACTGAGAGAATGATTATGCTTTTTCTGATCGTGTTTATGTTTGAATTCTTGTCATGTGGATTATTTGACCTTGGTAACTAGTAATTATGGTTTACATTACGTCAAGTTTTCTTTTTTCATAGAAGAGAAATTGGCCTAATTTTTATGTATTGCTAACCCAATTTGGTTCTCTGGCAGTTGTGATTGGAGGGAGAGAGGTTTGATTGTCAATGGTGGGATGCATTGGGAAGAGGCTCATTGGAGAAATGGGCACATTTGGAACCTTTCTGATTGTCATGTCCTGGGATGCAATTTGCACCATGATGTCCCTGACACATCAAAGAAAAGGTTATTTGAACTTCATGAGATCTTTAGGAGCATACCTAGTGTAACAAATAAGGGAAAGCCTGACAATTTTAGAATAGTATCAACGGCTGACTCTGGCAGATCTGGCATTTGGGATGTTGCTGATGATATTCTAATTAAAATATTAAACACACTTGGCCCTAATGGATCTTGTTAGAATTGCAGCTACTTGTCACCATCTAAGATCATTGGCTGCATTTGTAATGCCGTGTATGAAATTAAAACTTTTTCCTCATCAGAGAGCTGCAGTTGAATGCATGTTACATCGTGAGCGGAATGCTGAAGTTCTGCCACATCCTCTGTTCATGAAATTCTATTCTGATGATGGATTTGATTTCTTTGTAGATGCTGTTTCCGGTTACATAGTTACTGGGGTAGCTCCAACAATCAAGGATTTTCGTGGGGGAATGTTCTGTGATGAGCCTGGTTTAGGAAAGACAATAACTGCTCTTTCACTTGTTCTGAAGACACAAGGAACAATGGCTGATCCACCAGATGGGGTTCAAATAATGCGGTGTCTGCATAATGGCGAACAAAGTGGTGGCTACTATGAGCTTAGTGGTGATCGCTTATCCTGTGATAATGTGTTTTTAGGCAGAAGGGTGATGACTCCAAGTGTTCGTAGGGGGCGGTTATCTCTGGATGAATTTTCTCCAGTAAATGATTTAAAGCTCAGCTCTCCAAAAAGGGTCAGGTTAATGAACCCAGGTGAGCAAATTGCTGAATTTAGTGATTCATATCATGATAAAGGAACAAAATCAGATTTGGCTTCGCAGAGTGAGGGAATGGTTCGATGCACACAGAGACTGAGCCACATCAGAAAAAATCTTCTGTATGCCTATGATAGCAAACCTGGTTTTCGTAAAAGTAAGAAGGTTGAGAAAAACAAAGCCATGAAGAAGTTTAGTTCACGTGATGTGGGACGTGCCTTTCAGGGTGATGAAGATGGCTTGCCATATGGAATGGCGTACAGTTGTAAAAAGAAAGTTACTGGAGATGACTGTGTGCAAGATGACACTTGGGTTCAGTGTGATGCCTGTTTCAAATGGAGGAGGCTTTTAGAGACGAGTGTAGCCGAAGCGAATGCAGCCTGGTTTTGCAGTATGAATGCTGACCCTTTGCATCAGAGTTGTAATGATCCAGAAGAGGCTTGGGATAATCACCAGTCTATAACACACCTACAGGGATTCTATACCAAGGGGACTTCTGGGGGAGAGGATCGAAACGTGTCATTTTTTACTAGTGTGCTTAAGGAACATTCTTCTCTAATAAATTCTAAAACAAAGAAGGCCTTGACTTGGCTGGCTAAACTTTCTCCGGACAAACTCTTGGAAGTGGAAACAATTGGTTTGTCAAGTCCATTTCTAGGTGGTTGTGTTGCTGAAGATGCCAATGGTTTCCACAAAATATTCCAGGCATTTGGTCTCATAAAGCGAGTAGAAAAGACTGTTAGTAGGTGGTATTACCCACGAAGTCTCCACAACTTGGCATTTGATTTACCTGCCCTGAGAATCGCTCTCTGCAAGCCATTAGATTCTGTTAGGTTGTATTTGTCAAGAGCAACTTTAATTGTGGTTCCAGCAAATCTAGTTGATCACTGGAAAACACAAATCGAAAGACATGTTAGCCATGGTCAACTGCGGCTTTGCATATGGACTGATCAAAGGAAGCTTCCTGCCCACAATTTGGCTTGGGACTATGACGTTGTTATAACTACTTTCAATCGCTTAAGTGCAGAATGGGGTCCCCATAAGAAAAGTCCACTAATGCAAGTTCACTGGCTTAGAATCATGTTAGATGAAGGGCACACTCTTGGCTCTAGTCTTAATCTGACAAACAAATTGCAGATGGCCATTTCTTTGACAGCTTCCAATCGTTGGTTATTAACAGGAACACCAACTCCTAACACACCTAACAGTCAGCTTCAC